CATTCCCATTATCATCTCCTGTGTATATTTTTAGGCTGTTTGCGATGGAATGATTGAATTTAGTTTATATATTTATCCATGAACACCGTCACTTTCCCTTTTTTTTTATGTCAAAAGTTTGAATGCTGAATTTGTTATGACTAAATGCACATCTCTGTCCATTTTTTTGGTAACTGCAAGATACTCCTCATGCTTGCCGTATGCTATATGCTCATTTTCTTTTGTCCAGGACCTACACATATCTACCCTTCTTCAATTCCTCTTTTTTGTGTTTTACTATATGCCATTTGCTCCACTCCTTTTTACTTTATATTTCTGGATGGATCGATCTTTTTGCACATATCAGTGGCTGTTTCCATTGATATCTTATTTGGCTGCTTCTTGCACTTTATGCCTTAGTATTATAACATGCCTACCCTCTTCCTTATACAGTTGCTCATTGCGATCTTATGTGATAACTTCATTTAAATAAGATATTCTTTTGGATATATATTTGGAATCTAACTTCATGAAATTTTATTGTGTAGGTTTCCATTGACTCCATGGCTTCCTCATCTGCCCCTATTCGCAAGAGGCCTCGAGGTTCTTGTCTTCATGGCAAGTACTTCTCTACAACTGCTAAATATGCCACATTCAAGGAACATTATGCCTCCCGCCAACTCATTTCTCCCAAATGCTTGGATATACAATTCATGAGTGATGAAGGCTTTGAAATTTGTGATCTCCTGACTCATGCTGGAGTCCTACGCTTGACTCTCCTCAAAGAGAGATATTCAGAAGATATGGTTCGGGCCTTCTACTGTACTGTCAGCTTTGCAAATGATACACTCAAAGCCGACATCAAGGGCAAGCTCTTTACGGTACCTCCTGAGGAATGGCCTTGTATATTTGGTCCTTCCTACAACGGACACAAGTACAGTGTGTATGCTTTTCCTGAATATGACAAATACGCCTTCACGCAGTTTATTGTGGAACCCGGCTTCATAGTTACTCAATCAAAGTTCAGCGTCTCTTTGTTGACTATAGACAACCGGATTCTGCATTACGCAGTCACTCACATGCTGTCACCGCGGTCCTCTAACTAGTCTCGGGTGCTTGATGCTGATATCTTTCTGATGTGGGTTATCCGTTCTAGAATTAGTTTCAACTGGCCCTATTATATCTGCTCACAAATGATTAAATCTAAAAACTCATCTGCTGCACTTCCTTATGCTACTGCAATTGTTGAGATTCTGCTTCATCAGCAAGTCTTTATGGATGGTGAGATTCTGTCCGATGAATACACAACCTTGGCATGAATTTACTGGCCCAAATGCAAATCAAAAAAATTAATGGTATATGGTGTAAAACAACTGCTCCTCCTGAAGCCGGAGCAGCCCCTGCTGACATTGCCGAGGACACTGATCCTCCCGCCGCTGATCCTCCTGCAGACTCTTCTTCCTCCGCAGATCACACTTTGGGTTCTATTCTCACATCTCTTAATCGGCTAAACACTACTGTGGAATCCGGCTTTGCTACTGTGAACTCTAGGCATGCCAATATGGAGCTTCGTCTGAAGCGCATTGAGGACTACCTTCACATTCCTCCTCTTCTATCTCTACCGCCACCGCCTTCACATGACTCTGATGACTTTTAGTCCCTGCTATTTATTTTTTATGCTTTTGGACTTATCTTATGCTTCTATTTTGCTATGCTAATCTGGATATTTTGCATCTTTAAGACTTTTGCTTTATGGACTATGGTTGTTTAGATTATGGCCTATTATGAACTCTTGTGGATTATTATATTTTCCTTCTCGTTTCTTGCATGACTTGTTTCAAGATTTCTATTTATCCACTAATGCTTTTTGATGTTGCCAAAGGGGGAGAAAGATACATAAATTGAGAAAATCATAAGCATATATTAAGGTAAAGAGGGGGAGAATAAAATTCAAATATAAAAGGGGAGATTAGATGACACCTTGTATATCAATCATATATCAAGGGGGAGTTTCAAATATTATACTTGTCTAAATACATGTTATACTAATCTTTTTCTCAATTTGAGTTTGTCATCATCAAAAAGGAGGAGATTGTGGAACCAATGTACTCTATGAAAAGAATATAAAGGTTCAATGATTTCGATGATAACAAACAAGCAAGGAAAGAAAGCTTCAAGGTGAAACCATAAAAAAGAAGTCTAAACAAGATCAAGACTCAAGCTTCAAGAGAAGTCTCTAAGTCCAAATTCAGAGTAATATACTATAGGACTTAGGATTATTTGTAAATTGATTCCTTACAAGAACGAAGCTCAAAGTATTTTTCAAATACATGCATTAAATTATCAATTGACATTCAAATAATTCCTAGCATGAAAATACTATTTTCAATGTTCATAAAATGTTTAAACAAAATTTGAAATTGATGTGAATCAAGAGAAAACCATTTTAGGGTGAAATCCAACCTTTCAACAGGTTGGTAATCGATTATCCAACAATGGTAATCGATTACCCTTCATGGTAATCGATTACCCACTCAATGGTAATCGATTACCTACTCTACGGAAGACAAAATAACGGCTATAAAACGGCTAGTTTGCGAAAATGAGTGGGAAAAAGGCCATGGGGGCCCTCTATAAATAGAGACTACTGTTCCCATTGATGGGACACACTTCTTGATCATTATTACTCATCAATTCTCATCCTATTTGCATTATTCTTGTCTTCTTGATCATAAATTCCATTTGAGCTTTATTCTTGTAAGAGTGTCATATACCATTGTTCTTCAACTTGTGTTATTTGTACTTTGAGAGTACTTAGCCAATATTAAACACCTTCCTTTGATTACTTGAGTAGCTAGGGGAGTGAACCCTACACACTTGAAAGGTCACCAAATTCCTAAGAAAATTTGGAGTGAAAAAGTGTAAGGCATCAAGAGCCCGAAGTCTTGAAAAGTTGTAGTGGTTTGTCAAGCACCCTCAAGCTTGATAGTTAGTGAAAAGAATTGATCGAGCGACTTCAGTCTGGACGTAGGTCACAGTGGTGGTGACCGAACTAGGATACATCTAGTTTGCAACTTCTCTATCCTTAATCTCTTTATTTAAGTATTAAAATTGCATTTTAGATTATCTTTATATATTCGCTTGTTTACTTTGTTGATGACGACACTTAGATTTTTCCTTATTAATCACTTCATTGAAGAAATAGTCTTTAAAATACAAAAGGAGGTACTTTGCGAAAAGATTTTGTAAAACTCAATTCACCCCCCTCTTGAGTATTGAAGCCACGTGTCCAACAATATGGAACGACTGTATATGGGAAGCGTGGGTGATTAAAACAGTGCCATTCAGTTCTGCATGATCCACGTAAATTCATGGTTTTTTCTTTTGGAAATCGTCCATTTTTATTAAAGCACGCGACTCTGTCATTGAGATTTTTTTCAATTAATAATGATAACACTGGATGTGGGCAGCCGATGCTATATCCAATGGGTGAATTTACCTGTGACGTTCCATGTTCCAATGGATGTGGTCAGCCGATGATATATCCATCATTAAACACAACGAGTTATACGAAATGGTGACAATGAAGCGTCAATGTGAATCGTTTGGGTTTTGAATCGTTCTCAGTGTCACTCTCTTGATTGTGCAGTTGGGTATTTAAATTCTGATCTCATCTTCCAATTACAATTCATTCAGAAAATATTATTCATCTTCCTATAACACCTCACATTTCTAAAACATATATTAATACATTAAAGGTGGATTAAAGGGTAGGATTAGTGAAAATCCTGAAATTAGGGTTAAAATACAAAGGAAGGGTAAAATGGTAATTAGCCAAACATGTAATCCTAGGAGTGGAAGGGATCCACAAACATTCATCCTAGTTAATTTATACATGTATAAGACATAATTAGAACTTAATTCAAATCAAAGGAGAAACATGGATTCAAATTTAAGTTGCCCACTTGCCTGACTTACTCGAGTAACTCATGATCATGATCATATTGAGGCAGATTGATATATAGTTTTGATAAAAGATTAAAGTTAATAAATAGTTTAAAAGGGGGGCAAAGTTGTAAAAATTTTAAATACAAGGTGTAATGCCCGACCACTTGCAAGATTAATGACTGTCCACAAACCAACACAAGACTTTCTAGTGTAATTTGTCCTCTCACACATTTTCTAAGAAATTTCCTAGGATGTCACCCATTCCAAAATTGCTCCAAGTCAAGCAAACTTAACTATGGAGTTCTTAACTTATTAGCTACCGAAAGATAGATACATCTTATTAGTATAGGTAGTACCTATTAATTCCTTTAAGCTATCCTCAACTGTACAATTTCATACTTGCACAGCCTTTGGATCCCTCTCGTTTGTGTGTTGATTCGATTGATTCATACACCCCTTCCGCTATAAGCCTGCCAGGAGCCGCTGTCACAACCCTTCCCTCCTTAGCGGGTTAGACTCCAAGCAACGGGCTTTATGTAGACTGGTGGTACCACCCGGCCCACGTGCCTGGGGATCACTCCCCGTCCTCGTCATCTTCCGGGATGTTACATGCCTACCAGCTTCCGCCTGATGTTCGTCCTCGAACCACATCATACTAAGAAAGAGGCCTTGCTCGATACCACTTGTAACGCCCGACCACTTGCAGGATCAATGTCTATCCCCACAAACCAACACAAGAATTTCCAGCATACTTTATAAAAAGTAGATGAATCTTGTTAGTATTGATAATACCTATTAATTCTTTTAAGCTATTATCAATTGTATAGTCTGGTACCTGCACAATCTCTAGATCTTTCACGTTCGAGTCTTAATTTGATTAATTTATGTACTCCTCTTGTTGGAAGTCTACTAGAAGCCACGACTCTTCCCACATTAGAAGACTGGACTCCAAATATTGGGCTTTATTTGGATTGTTGGTACATCCCGGCCCACGTGCCACCCGATCACTTCCAAAATAATTTTTCTTAAAAAAAAAGAAGTTAAAAATTTACATAATATTCTCAAAAAGAGAACAGTCTTGAAAGAAAGGGCAAAGGGAAAGCGGCGTTTCATTTCAGTCGTAAACGGATTCCGAATACTTGAAAATTTTTCAAAGACAAATAGGTGGCGGCGGAAGAGAGTGAGGATCAATGGCGGTTCCGGGGAGGCGCAATGGCCTGAACAACGAGGAGGATGAAGAAGAAGACAACGCCCTTTTTGAAGAAGAAGGTATCCTCGAAGACACCGATACTCCTCCTCATCTTCGTGACCTTTCCGCCGCTGCTCAGCGCGGCGACCTCCACGCCCTCCGCCTCGCTCTAGGTCAACTTCCTCTTCTTTTGTTTTTTCAATTTTTTATTTAAATATGTTTCTCGTAATGCATAATTCTTTTATCTGTGTTGATTTACTAGATTATTGAATGTTGAGCTAACTCTGCTGAACCCTATTGCTTCTTCAAAGTTCAATCCAAACCCTATGTTTTGGGAAACTTCTTATTTCGTTAATTTTCTCTCCAATATCCGTCGTGTTGAGAAATTGCTTCACCGACTATGAGGATGTATCTCATTCTGCCAAAGGATTGAACTTGGTGATTTATTAGTTACTTGTTTATTATAGACTTCGTTTGTTTCAGTTGAAGTTATGTCTGTTTGTTCGTTTGAAATTGAATTGGGTAAATGGGCTTTTCTGAAGCATGCTTTGCAGCCCCAAGCAAGCAGGAGTACCTGTCGCTCTGTGGATTTTCCTAGAAACTGGGGTTTAAGGAATTTTGAATTTTGTATGAGAAAATTGATTGATTGAGAGGTACAAAGGATGATATGTGCTTTGATAGGACTTGTGATATATATTCGTGGCCAAATGCCACCGCTATCCGTCAAATTAGCTTGTTGAAATGATTATCTATAATTGCACTTGTGGCCCTGGGGCAAGTTGTCTATAATTTGCAAGAAAAGAAAAAAGGATGAAAAGAAGGGGCTGTATGAATTTGACTGTATTAGATAAACTATTGTATTTTTTTTGGTATCTGAATCTGATATGAATGAATCCTTTGCCTAGTACATAGAGAAAGAATTTTATATTTGTTGAAGATTGACGTAATTTGCAGCGAAAACTTTTGTTATCCACATTAACTATTATGGTTTGATTTGTTGGATATCTAAACACATTATCACTGGAATATCGGGTGTCATTTCTGCTGATGCTTACCCTCATGCTGTATAACGGCAGATAACTTGACTGGTAGTATCAATGAGCCAGTGGAGGATGGGGATACAGCTCTTCATTTGACCTGTTTATATGGCCATTTGGCATGTGTCCAGGTTTATCATCTTCACTTATTCTTGCTTTCACATGCCCTTATTATACAACATGTCATGAATTATTGATCTGGTTTGATAAATTGCAGCTGCTCCTAGAAAGAGGAGCGGACTTGGAGGCTAAGGATGAAGATGGTGCAATTCCTTTACATGATGCTTGTGCAGGAGGTATTTTGAAGTCATGTTCTTAAAGTTGAACTGATCTTTTTTTTGGTAAGATTTGCAATGTCATTTTGCTTTAAATGGCCTATCAGGATTTACAGAGATAGTCCAACTGCTAATTAACAGAGCTAATGACTCAGATCATATAAAAAGGATGCTAGAATCAGTTGATGCTGAGGGTGATACTGTGAGTATTTATTTATCGTGCAATAAATTTGTGCTCTTACTCAAGATGTCAAAGTCAAGCGACCTAGTATAAATTTATAATAACAGTGTGCTTGAAATTTGTCACGTCTTTTTTTTGTTTTTTATTTTTTTTATACAGCAAATTTTCCCATTCCTACCCTCTTTCAACTGTATCTGTTGAATTTCCCCTGATTTGTTCTCCTTCATCATCTTGTGATTATTTTCCCAGCCACTCCATCATGCTGCAAGAGGTGAGCATGTTAATGTAATTAGGTTGTTGCTGTCTTATGGCGCGTCTTCCACAAAGACAAACTTATATGGAAAGGTATAGCTTTTAAAGGAATTTTAGAATTATTCCCTTCTAGCCTTCATCAATATCTAAAATAATTTTTTGCAGACTCCAACAGAGTTACCTGAGCAGGACACGGATGCTAGGAGGCTGCTCGAAGCTGCCGCTACTGCAATGGCATGCTAATAGCATGTTAGTTAGTATTAGCATGGTAATTAGTAGAAATACTTAATTTCATTTTGGTAGAGACGGTACTCTTTTTGGACCATTTGATCTGAGTTATGTATACTCGTTTCTTGAAGTTCAGAAATGATTTACTAGGGAGACACCTTTGTGAATTTTAACCTTTTTTTTTTTATATTTCTAAATGGAGAGTTAGAAACGAGAATTCACGGATCATTTTTAACCTGGTACGTTTTTCATTAGTTTGCTTATTTAAATATATTTACACTTCAGGATGTAACTGAACTATAACAGGATAGTTGTACTTCTTGATAAACCAAACTTAAATTGGGTTAGTGGTTCATTAAGCATAAATTTGCACGTTGTGTCCTTTAATGCTCCCCGTAACTTTAACTTTCATACTTTTTTCTACGACGATAATATTCATGCTTATTGGTTAAATGTGGTTATTGAATCGGAAAGTTGACATGCTCGAAAAGTTTGGCTTGGCTATATTCGAATCTCAATAATACAGAATTTGATTCCATTTTATTGTTATTTTATTATCGAGTCATGGTCGATTAATATATATCAAGGTGGTGTTTGGTTATTTTCAAAAACTATAGGCGAAGTCCAATTTTTCCTTCAATTTAAATGTTATGTGCATTTGGTCTTGAAAATTAAAGCACGTTGGATGTGTGAACTTTTTGAACGTGTGTTGTTTCGTTGTCCTTTGATTTTTCGTTAAACCTTTAAAAGTGTCTCAGTTATCATTTTACATCAAATTTACCGTAAAGTTACATGTGCACAGACTCACCATAAAAAACTCTTACCTAAGATCCTTGGCCCCCATTGAAACCACTCCTCTAATAGGTACTTACAACCTGTAAGGCTGCAACAGAGTTTTAGTGTAAACACAAATCAACTAAATAAAACAATTGCGGGAGGAAGAATTCTTTGAACAGAGCTCGAGTCCTGTATCTTTTTTATTTTACCTTTTATCACTCTTCTCCAATGCAGCTTGGCCATTTTATAGAGTAAGAATATAACATTGCTTGCCCTTATATCCAGCAAAGAAAGAAGAATTTAAAAAGTTGTCTTTTGGTGTGAGATTTTTTTCAAATTGTAGCCTCCCATTGGTCTTGTTTTTGTCCTTGCTTTTTCGGTTACAAAGCTTAGTATTGCAGATGCTTCTTGGTCATATTGAGATCTTAAAAGATTATTATAATTTCTTGTCGTGTACCAATTCCTCAGCAGTGATGTTTTGGCTGCTCCTCCTCCATGCATATCTTTCTCAAATAGATATTTAAACTTTCATTCCACCTTCAAGATTCATAGATCTTCCCTATGATTTAATTTGCAGTTTTTCAAGGATTGAATCACCAAAATGAAGCTTATCTAAGTTCTTTATAAGACACGGTGGTAGAATCAAGTATGAGTAGAATTTATTCTATCAGTGGAGGAACTCATCCTAACCTAAATTCCTATATTAAAATGTGAGTTGGATCGAATTCGTGGCTTGTATTAGGTTGAAAAATACAACACAAATCCAGCTATTTCATTTTTTTATAAAAAAAGAAGTTGGTATGAGTCAGGCTTTAAAGCTTGGTACAAACTAGGGAGTAAAGCTCAAAATGACTTGCGATCCTTTAAATTAAAGCTCTATTTTTATGAGTAACAAGATTTTTGTTTAATAATTTTTATTTTTGCAACTTAGTACGAGTTACTGTCTAAAGTTCAAAATGACCGATGAATAGTCAACAAATATTTTGAGAAAATTAATAATGAAGTATCTTGAGAATGAAGCTACATAGCATAAGAGTATGATGGATCACTTAGATGACAGCAAGTATTTTAGAAAAATTGACAATAAAGTCATCATTGTCATTATAAGTTTATTTTATGGGATAGGATAAATATGGTCAAGTTGTTATATTTAATACATTTGAATATATGTCACAAGGGTGCTGTAAGATTAAATTTTTGAATATTTTTTTCTCTAATCAAATAAAATCAGTAACAATTCTTTTAATTATTTTATTTTAAATTCAGTTTTCTTGCTCATCAAGGACCCTCTAAGACGGTTGTGAAATGTGATCTAACTCTGCACTTGTGTGTCTCTAAATCATCAGTCAATAGTTACTATCAAATTGCGCAAGTATTGTACATACCGATACTCCATAATGGCTTACATGCATGTCCTACCTTGTATTGGGATTATGCTAAAAGCAGGACATGCCAGTAGAAATTGTGGTGAAACTTTCCTTTATTATTTTTATATTCCGAGTATTTTACATAACAGATCATGTAAAAGGAGAGATACACATGGAGATCCTAAACAAGATCCCACGAATTTTTTACATAGTTATACTGTTTAGGATCTTTGTGTCTAATCTATCCTTTTACATGTTCAATTTGTTAGGTGCAGCAGTTGTAATATCAGGATCTACTTGAGAGTAACACGTAAATGACACATATTTTGTAGTTGCACAAGGTTGTTTTGATTTGGATAAAATATAGGCTAAAAAAGGGAAATAAATTTACACATGCTAATAATAGGCGTTATTGTTGCCAATTCCCCATTTGTAGTGGTACAAGTAATTAAACAACCAAAAGACAGTGGAACGAATAAGAAACTGGGGAAGAAGATTACAAATAGGGATCTGAGGATTAGTCCAGAATGTGCTAGTTAAGACTGTGTCCACGTTGCAGCATTTTTTAAGAGCAACAACCACCATTTTGGGATGCTTGGGGTTCCTGCTTTTGCTTTAAAATGTTCCTTTTTACTGCCGTTGATCCTTCTTCCAAAAGACTAGGAACTTCCATTATCTATGAAAATGGTGCCATATTTGTCATGATTGGGAAGGAAAAAGCAATGCACAGCAAATAATGTACTATAATATTTAGCATATCATCACTTCCATAGTTCAACTCTTTCATCATTATTTTTACATTGTCCAAATGGTGATTACCTCTTATAATCAATATTAATTTTTAGAATATTAACCTGATTTCTTAAAACCAGATGAAGAATTCACCCTGAAAAGCCTATTCTCACTGATGCCTAAAACAAATACTAGGTACTTCTGTATAAGTGCATGTTATCTCATAAATTACTAGCTAATATGGAAATAGATCATTTCATGTGTTATTTAACATGATCATGTCATGTAAGAAAACCTTAACAATCAATAAAAAAAATTCATAGTGATGATTTTATAACTTCCTATCCTAATATTTTACCACAATTTATTCATCCTTGTATGGTTAGGAATCTCCTACTGACATAGTCATGATAAATAACACCTGAGAGGATCCACTCCCAGCTATACACACTTTAAGCTGTTGAAACCTTAAGAATTGAACAAACATTGTCGGTTCAAATAATCTTTACAAAGAAAATAACTAACGACCACTGTTCTGTCACAACGGATCCAAAAACCTGGCATTTTACTCACGTATAGAATATAACTGCCATAACAAAGACTTTGATGGTCTTTTGTTTTCTCATTGCAAATTTCTTTTATGCTTAAGTTACTGCATTTGGTGTTCGCCTAGCATCATTAATTGGAAAATTGTCTTATGTACATAGAACAAACACCATAAAAAAGGCTTCTAAAACTATACCTTTAGTGCAAGTTCCTCGAAGCACTGTTCCACATTTTCTCGAGTTTTGGCACTACATTCAAGAAACAAACATCCCAACTCTTTGGCAAGAGCTAAACCCTCTTCTTTGCTCACAGCCCTTTCAGAATCCTTAAAATAGAGAAATAAACCATTAATGAAATTATTAAACATAATACATCAAGATAAGAGCTGGTAATTCGGAGAAAGTCTATGTTTAAAAAGTTGATTGCACAAAAAAAATAAAAAATAAAAAAATATCCAAGGAGTGCGTTTAGATGTGAAATGCCTCATATTTAAATATGGTATTAATGCTAGTCGATGTCCAAGGTCCAACACATAAGCATTACATTCATCTATCTCAAAAAGGTTCTTTAACGGTTTGTGTCCGGCAAAAGTGTTGGGAAATTCGTTCCCTCAAACTCCAATGTCAAGCGGGTCCAGGGGAAGCCCGTGGCGGGGAACCACCACCAATGAGCTAAGGCTACACCAACTGTAGCAAGTGGATCCGACACCATATCTCAACCCAAAACCTTAAGGCATTGGGTTCATGGGTCCTTTCACTTATATACTCTTCACTTAGCTCATTACCAACCAATGTGAGACTCATCACACTTGAATATCTCAACAAAAAGTACTCTTAACTACAGGTTCAGGTTTCTTTGACTACATGGAAGGTTCCAGATGACACTTCTGTCTAAAGTGCATGCATGTAATAATCCCATTATTCGGCAATAGCATGTATAAATGGGGCTCAATTTTCTTCTAATCTGGCTTAATAATTTAAGGATCCAATTTTTTTATGGATGTCATGAGATGATCATAGCGATAAGTATAAAACAAATATAAAAGCATCACATGCTTGCCCATATTTTCTAACCGTAGGCAAGAGAGGGTCATAATTTGATCAATTTTAGAAGGTCTCTAAGTTAGTTCTCCTACTAGAAAAAAAGAGGGATTGAATTTAAGTTAGTCACTTCAACTTCAAGTCATGAAGGTATTACAGATTAATTCTAGAACAGTGTAACTCATGACAGAGAAGAGAGACATATGGAAGACAGAACTTGAATATTTTTTCATTGCCTTGATGCAGAGTGCAGGCAAGATCAGAGCACATATTTGATGTATTCTATAATTTAGTTTTCAAACATTTCATTGAGGAAATATATCACAGTAGTTACTGATTCATTTTCTTGGGTCATATATTCATGCATATGACTAAAACACCAAACTTACTCTATCAACTTTATTTCCAACTAGCATCTTCACGCAATCCTGATTAGTTGAATAGAGTTCCACTTCTTTAGACCACACTTCTGATAAACTTGTAAAGGTGTCTCTTCTTGTTACATCATAAACTAAAACAAAAAACAAAAAAACAAATTACTCTACAAGTAGAAGACTTGGATTTGAAAGATGTTAACTAGCAATGATTCAAAACATGCATTAATTATCTTACTCATTACAAACTGGCGGTTTCATAAGCCCCGCCATAGCCCCAAGAAAAATATGCTTACAAATTCTTCATGCCATTAAAAGGAGGCAAAAGACAACGGCAATAGCTGCCAAAAAAGATGAAGCAACCCCGGGATATGTCTTTTAGAAGCCCCTTGCTACCCTTATTGCAAATGTAAAATCTATCTAATAATTGACAAAAGTCATTACGCAACTTCTTTAACTCAAAATTAAAAGCGCTATAACACATGGTTCATTAAAAATGTTATAATTCCTTGCAAATGCTTATCTTATTCCAGAAGTATAGAGTTCCTATTTTATAGGATGTTCCCATAGGGACTATGAAAATACTAGTTACACTGACAGAGTTCAATGCTAGTGAGCAACCACCAAAGAGAGGCCTTTAATGTATATTAAAAAAAAAAACAAAGCATGTACATTAATCATTTTAGCATACCTAGAATAATTCCTTGAGCTCCTCTATAGTAAGAACTAGTTAGAGTTCTGAACCTTTCCTGCCCAGCTGCAACATATGTAATTTAGGTGAATGCACAAGTGATTCACCAAAAAAGACCCTATAAGGAATATTTCATTATATTTATTTGCATCCAATTACCGATCTTGCAAGTCAGAGTTTCACGGGGAGTTTTTTTTTTTTTTTTAATCCAATTCACAGATGCCAAGAACCAAAAAAAGGTCTAATTTCATGAACTGGAAGCAGAAGATTTGACTATAGCTTACCAGTATCCCAAATAGTTAGTTTCAATCTTTTCCCACCTACTGTGAGAAGCTTGATCTTAAAATCAACACCTACATTCATAACAACAGAAGATAAGAACAATAGCATCAGATCATATCAGAACTCAAATTTGATAAAAGCAGCATGATGGTGAGAGCAACAATTAAAAAATTCTATGTCAAATTGCCAATTCCAATGGCATAGAAGGAGTAAAGCAATAGAACAGTTAATTTTGTATATAATGATATAGGATAACCAAAGTATGATACAGAAATAATTGAGGGCAATTGATTCAATCATAACAGTTAAGTGAGCATAGTACAGTTAAAAATCCTATGAGTCTAAGAAGTAAAACAGCTTCTGAAATGTTCATAAGTGGTCTACAACAGCACAATTGAAATCCACTCAAGAAGTACACAACTTTAATGGTTACTGTAAACCATAGATCAACAACCAAGAGAAACAGTTTGGTTGAGAACACAATATAAGAAAGAAGTGACAAAAAAATCCTATACCTGCAGATAAGCTTGAAGAAGGAAATAACAGTGATAAAAGCATAGTATTTTTCCTTAGTTAAGGTCCAAAATTTTTTCTGGGAAATCATCAAACAGAAAGAAATAATGGTTTGTGTAACCAGCAACAATTTACCAATTGTGGGGGCAAGATCTTCAACAGAGTTAGAGATGAAGCTGACAAGTAGGCTACTTTTTCCAACAGCAGAATCACCGATCAACAAGATCTTGAAAGAGAGATCATAGCCACTGCTCTGACCTGAAGAAGAACTCATTCTCTCCACTCTCTGAATGATGACAATGAAGTGCTTTCCCAAAGAATGTTTCTATTTTGTATCTCTCTCTAAAAAGTACAGTAAAGGAAACTATGTAAGTGAATAAAAAGAGAGAGAGAGAGAGAGCAAAACGGAGACAGAGAAAAGGTACCCTGTAATGAAATGCAATGTCAGCAACATCTTTTATATATTTGCCGTTTGTAAGAGAGAGAGAGAGAGAGAGATAGTGAGTGAGTTAGAAGCTAAATAAAACGGCTACCTTTGCCTGAGTTCAGGAACATTCAGTTGACACACCACATCAACGTATATATTCTTTTCTTTTTTCTATGTCATCCTTTTGTCTAAAAAATTATTCCTGTTCACTTTTTTGAAAAGAAAAGAAAAACTATTTATGTATCTTGTGCATAAAATAAAAAGTAACTTACATAACCTACATGATTAAATTATATTAGTGATAGTTTGATGACTTCATTATTTAATTTTAGTTATATCCAGTAGTTAATCAATTATCCGATTAATTCGATTCGATCACGGTTGGATCCATCGACTTGAAACCGTCCTCTTGTATAATAAAAGACCAAAGTTTTTCCACACCAAAAAAAAAAAAAGACCAAAGTTTTTTTTTTTTAGTAATAAGGGGCAAAATAAAATATCAAACCTACAAGTGTTACTAAGATTAATGGGAGAAATTAATTTTTATGAGTATTTTGAGGAAGAGACTAATTATTAATACTAATAATTTATTATTATTAAAAAATATAATTTTATACATAATAATAATAAAAAAAACTAAAATTAAGAGAGAGGCGATGACCATCAATGCCCCTCTCCTAATAATTAAACTTGTTTGATAAATAGTTAATCAAATATTCTACCATTTCAATAAGTCTTTATGCACAAGTAATTAAGTTTAGTTTGATAAATGATTAAGTTTAGTTTTATGGGTTATATATTTACCCTTTAGTTCTGCCACCTCAGACTAATGTAAGGTAATGTGAAAAAAGAGTGATGCATAACAAGCATTTCCCTTCTAACAGACAATATTTTTGGCTACTCAGAGCGTGTATGATAATCTTCTTGAAATCATTTTTTTTTTAATTTCTGTTTCGGGATAAAAAATGGATAGAAAACTCGTTTGGTAAAAATGACTTTTTTGTTCCTGCAACGAATCAGTTTATTTTTTGTGCTGGAGAACAGAAAAAAAAAATTTGTTTTTCGTTCCCGGGCATAAAATGAAAAACATTTATTTCTCTCAACCACTCTTCACCACTATCATGATCATCACCACTACCCTCATCCTGACACGACCACTAGGGGTGCTAAACAAACCAAGGGTCTTTCAGGGGTCTTTTCCTCGGCTCGTGAAGGCCTAGGCTTACATGTCTAAAAATGGTTGTTGGAACCAGGCTTGAACTTATATAAAAGCTCGTTTAATAAAAAGACCTCAGGCTTCAATTCAAAAGCTCGCCCTTAGAGCCTCTCAGGCTTGCCTGGCGTACTAATTTTTTATTTTTTTTATATATTTTATACTATTCATAATAGCGATCTCTATCTCCTCAACCCATTTCATCATATTTTATTGGTTAAATAGACTTTTTGAATGATTTTGTTCTATATTATACTTTTTGGATATACATTGAATTTATGAATCTTTGTGAAATTATTAGTGTTGTGGATCATATATTTTGTTTAAATAAATTTTTGTTGTATTTTTTTTAAACAGGCTAACAGGCTAAATCAGACTTTTATTTTTCATAAATAAGCCAGGCCGCAGGCCGATAATTATATTCATAATAGGTAACATGCTATGTCAGGCTAAGACATTTAAACATAGGCTTAGCCTTTTAAGACCAAAACTCGGCTCGGCCCGTTTAACACCCCTAACGACCACCACTACCATCATTGTCGCCGTCGTTGTACCACCAATGTCGTCATCACCACAACTACCACCATGACGACGATGCCATCACCATCATCACCACCACCACCACGACGATGCCATCACTATCATCAGCACCACCGCCATCGCCACCACTACCACTACCGTCACCTACTACCACCACCATCATCGCAACCACTGCTATCACGACCGCCACCATGTCACCACCACCACCAGCGCCATCACCATGTCATCGCTACCATTACTTCCACCACCGTCATCAACCACCACTACCATTGTCGTTGCCACTACCATCACCATGTCATCACCACCACCATCATTGCCGCAGCTACTGCCATCACCACGTCATCGCCACCACCACCATCGTCGCAACCACTACCATCACCACCACCATCACGCCACCACCACCGTCACAACCACCACCACCATTGCCGCATCCACTGCTATCACCAACACCACCGTGCCATTACCAACACCATCATGTCACCACCACCACCACCACTACCACGCCACCACCAACGCCACAAACCACCACCACCATCGTCATAGCCACCGTCCTCACCATTGCCACCACTACCACCACCACTATGTCGACACCATCGCACCATCACCATCGCCGACCATCATCACCACCATCATCGCAGCAACTGCTGTCACGACCACCACCATGCCATCACCACGCCATCGCCACCACCACTTCCACCATCGTCACCAGCAACCACTACCATCGTCGCAGACGCAGCCACTACCATCGCCACTGTTACCAACTAGCACCGCTGCCGCCGCCGCAGCCACTGTCGTCACCACCACCACCATGCCACCACTACCACACCACCAACCATTACCACTACCACACCACCACTATGCCGCCACCATCACCACCGCTACTATGCCGCCGCCACTATGCCTCCACTATTACAACCACCACTATGCCGCCACCATCGCCACAACCACTGTCATCACTACCACTACCACCACTACCATCACTACGCCACTACCACTACCAGCACTGCTGCCGCTGCCACCATCACCACCAATACCACCACCACGCCGCCACCACCACCACCACCACACCATATGAAAAGGAAAGTGATGATTCGAAAAAAATTATGAATTTTTTTTATTATATTATTTGTTGTGTTATCAAACGCAATTCTCATTCTCAGAATAAAAATTGAACATGTTATCAAACACTTTTTTTTCTCAGAAACTGTTCCAAGGCACAAGAATAGAAAAGAATTGTTTCTTTTCAGAAACAGTGCCAGAAAACAGAATGGTTGTCATGCACCTAGGGGTGTAAATGGGCTGGGCTAGGCCGAGCTTTGGCTTTCCTGGCCCAAGCCTACATAAAAAAAAATTCAGCCTATCTGGCCTACTGGCCTATTAAAGGCTTTATTTGTAGGCCAAACCCGACCTATTTTTAAAAATAAGAAAGCCTGATATGGCCTACAGGCCTTGTAGGCCTCCCATTATAGATACTAAGCAAAGAAAATACTTGTATAGAGCAAAGAAAGTTCCATTTATGCATGCACTAGTACTTCTCATAAGAAAAAAATGACAAACAAGAAAGAGTCAACATAATACCTCAGCTCTAGAATGTATATCATAGATGAATAGAGTCAATGAAATGGGAAAAATAAGAAAAATACAATTATTGGGTGCTAAAATAAAGTCTCCAAATAGAGGTGGCTGTCGAAAATGGCTGGCTACAAGCACAAGGGTTCTAAGAGAAAAGACGAAGCCGAGAGTGAGAAGCGGCGGTGCACATAAAAATTAGGGTTGGTATTGGTACTTTGCCACATAAAATAAATATTATTTTATTATTTTATTTTAATAAATTAAATAGGCCAGCCTATAAGGCTTTAGGCTGGACTTGACAAAATTGGCCTATGGCCTATTTGTTAAAAAAAACTTTTTTATAAACCTAAGCCTACTCTACTTTTCTGAAAGGCCGGGCTAGGCCAGGCTCAATGTAGGCTGGGCTGGCCCATTTACACCCCTATGATGCACCCCTTATTTATTGTTTTGTGAGCAGCTTTGTTGGTGTATATATCATTTTTTTCTTAGGGTGTGCTTGACAATCTTCTTAGAATCAATTTTTTTTAATTTTTATTTTCGGGAACAGAAATAGATAGAAATGGTATTTGATAAAATCAAATTATTTTTTTATTTCCGAGAATGAACTGGTTCAATTTGTGTGCTGAAGAACAAAAAAAAGAATAAAAAATTTTATGTTATTTTGTTCTCAGGCACAAAATGAGAAACACTTTTCTCTCTCAATCACTCGCCACCACAGCCACATCACCTCTCCCACCACCATCCTGACATGACCACCGCCACCATCATCGTCGTGGTCGTCATACCACCACCGCTGTCATCACCACCACAACCATGATGCTACCGCCACCATCACCAAACACAATTACCACCATGTCACCGCCACCATGCCACCACTACCGCTACCATCGTCACTGCTGTCATCGTCACTACCACAACCATGATGCCACTACCACCATCACCACCACCACTACCACCATGCCACCATCACCACCATGTCACAACTACCATTACCATCACCGTCACTACTACCACTACCATCACAACGCCACTGCCACCAAGCCGCAACCACCACCACTATCATCACCACACCACCACCACCACCATTACCTCCATCATTGTCGCAACCACCGTCATCACCACCACCACCACTATCATCACCACGCCACCGCCACCATCACCATCCTGCCATAACCACCACCATCATACCATATGAAAAGGAAAGTGATAATCTGAAAAAAAAATTATGCTTAATAGGAATAATTTTTTATTCTATTACTTGTGTTATCAAACACAATTCTTATTCTCTGAATAAAAATAGAACATGTTATCAAACATATTTTTTTCTCAGAAACTGTTCAAAGGCACATAAATAGAAAATAATTGTTTCTTTTCAAAAACAATGTCAGGGAATAAAATGATTATCATGCACACCTTTAGATACCCAAAGATGGTGGATCAAGTGATAAATTAATTTAAATTGGTTGAAAGCTCACTATATTGAGGGGTTTAAGCCTACAAGAATAATTGGGAGCAGCCACAGTACCTGCAATTTAGGATTAATCTTTTTTAAAAAAAAAAAATATAACCAATTTAGGATTAATCTTACATCGAAGGAATGTGAAAATATCAAGCAAAACTCAAAAAAATAAAATAGAAGACTCTTAGATATATATGC